TCAGATCCCCCATCTACAAAATGAGAGAATTGGATGGAATGCCTCCATGGCCCTATCCAGCCTTTGATCTCTGATCTCAGCTATTTCAGTTGTACCTTCTCTAAGTTTGCTTTACATCCCTAAACCTATGGATGGGGGGGGGGGAGAATGCTGTGGGGGAAGGGAATAAGCATTTATTAGGCACCTACTATGTTCTAGGCACTGTGGCTTTAAGTGCTTTACCAATATTATTTCATTTGATCCTCAGAGCAACTCTGCAAGGCAGGTGCCATCTTACATTTGAAGAAACTGAGGCACAGCAGAGGGGAAGTGATTTTCTCAGGGTCACACTGCTATTAAGTATCTGGGGCTGCATTTAATCTCAGGTCTTTGTTTCTCCAGGCCCAGTGCTTGATTCACTGAGCCCCTCAGAGGCCTCTCAGTTGGCCAAAGAAAGGAATCATCTGGGGAATGAAGACAGTATCCGCTCTGCTGCTCTCTATGATATGATGCTGCCTAGCTTTCCAAAAGTTCTCTTCATACTTTCAGCCTCAAAATCAATCAGATCTAGAGCAAAGGTTCTTAACCTGGACTCTATAGCCTTACACTGGAATAACATTTTGACAGCTGCATTTCTATAGAATTGGTTTTCTTGGTATTTCGATGTTTAATATTTGATGCATTTAAAAATATTATTTTGAGGGATCCATAAGCTTTGCTAGACTGACTGCCCAGTGGGTCTAGGACCAAGTGAATGATAAGAACCCTTGTTTGAGCAGAATGTGGATCAGTGGTTGCAACAGGGGCTTGGAGTCAGGAAGACCTGCGTCCAAATGTCTCCTGTGAGGCAGTGAGTCCTTCTTAGCCTTAATTTACTGAGCTACAAAATGTGGATACTAGTGCCTACATCACAAATGCTACTACTGCACACAGTAGGCACCTACATCTTATTTTCTTCCTCCTTATTCCCCTCCCCCATCCTCATTCATAACACACACACACACACACACACACACACACACACACACACACACACCGCTTAAACCTTAAAGCCCTACATAAATGTTAGTTATTACTATTATTAGTGTTAGGGGTGGATTAGGAATAGAGACAGAGTGCCAGGCCTGGAGTCAGAAAGACTTATCGTCCTGAGTTCAAATATGACCTCACACACTAGCTGTACAACCCTGGACAAGTCATTTAACCCTGTTTGCCTCAGTTTCCTCATCTGTAAAATGAGCTGGAGAAGGAAATAGCAAACCACTCCAGTAACTTTGCCAAGAAAACCCCAAACGGGGTCATGAAGAGTTGGCCACAGCTGACGTGACCAAACAAGAACGAAAGGAATAGGGAATGATTTTGCAATTTCATTGGTGTATGGAGATCCTGGGCCAACCACCAGAGTTGTATAGAAAAGGTGCTATAAGCACCTTTTCTATAATTCAAAGACTTTGAACAAGAGGCTGAGAGTCACTCAGCATCAAACAGCCACGGCATGTCAGAGACACGACTTGAACCCAGATCTTCTTGACATCAAGAATTACTTGGTAATTCTTCTCTAAGCTAATTTATTATTAGCTTGGAGACTTGAAAATTTCCTTCCTTGACTAAGCACTCATGATTTTAATCATTCAAACTGGACTCCTGAGTGTTTGGCTCCATTGATGATCTCAGTATAAACGAACATGGAATCCCATAACATTGGAGTTAGTACCTTGGTGAGATATTGTTTTTAGCTATTTTTCAATCATGTCTGAGTCTTCATGACCTCATTTTGGGGTTTTCTTGGCAGAGATACTGGAGTGGTTTGTCATTTCCTTCTCCAGCTCATTTTACAGATGAGGAAACTGAGGTAAACAGGGTGAAGTGACTTGCCCAGGGTCACATAGCTAGTGTCTGAGGTTGGATTTGAACTCAGGTCCTCCTGATTCCAGGGCTGATACTCTATCCACTGTGCCACCTAGCTGCTGAGATCACCCTAAGCCTAGAAGAATTTCCATTTTAAGAGATGTCAGAAAGAATCCTGGTTCTTGGGCTGGGTTGGACCAGATGGCTGTGGAGGTACCTTCCAGGTTTCAAATTCAATGACTCTGGAACTTTCCTCCAGGCCAGAGATACCTGTAGGATCATAGGACTTGTAGCTAGAAAAGATTTTTGGGATGATTTAACCTAATTCCCTCACTTTACACAATCAGCAGTGACTGTTAAGGGACTTGCATATGGAACATAACACAGAAATATCTGAGGAAAGATTCAAACCCAGGACCTCTTCCTTAAGTCCAGAATTTTACACTGGGTACCATATGCCTTCTGTTGTAATATGAACTTGTCTTCAAGATTCTGAATAGCTTGAGATGGAAACATCTTTGCAATGAATTTATAACTCCATATCCACAGCCCAGTTGAGGAACTGGACCTATCCAGAATATTATGTGGGAAAGAGAGCAGACCTCAGAGCCAAAAAGACACAGGTTCAGGCCTCATCTCTAACCCATGTTGGCTGCATGAACTTGGACAAATAATTTAACCCCTCAGAGTCCTAGGCAACTCTCTAAGATTCAGAGTTGGAAATCAGGTGATCATTGTTGGGGAGAGTTCCCAATACAAATGAAATTGTGATGCCAGAGCACTGAGCAATCTGGTCTACCTGCCATCACTGCCCTTCTTGTCTGAAGCCAGCAGCCTCAAGCTTTTGCTGGACTTGAACAGAACTATCTGTATCTCAACTAGAAAGGACCCTAGGGACCAGCAAGTCCAGTGAAATCTGGAGACCAGAAAAAATAATGCCCACAGCACTGAGGTGTTAGCTAACTTGCCCTGAATCTCTGCTGTCACCACACATCAAGTTCCTGGGCTGAGTGACCCACTTGTCATTTGAGAGAGCTGCTCAAGGCTCAGAGAGAGAATGGCAATCTGCCCATGGTCACACAGCTGGTAAGTGTCAGACGTAAGACTTGACCCCTGGTCTTCCTGACTCCAAGTACAACACACTATTGTCTCTACCACACAGCTTCTCTCCTTCTCCCCATGGGTCTGCCCACATATCTGCAGATAGTGTTTTATACTCAATGCTGAATTGAACGTAGCAGAACGTCCTACCTAGTTTCAAAGTCTGTTTCAAGTCCAGAGTCTGTAGTGAGATCTCTCCAGAACACCTCCCCCATCACCCACCTAGTAACACTAATCTCCTCTCACCTAAACTCATGTAGAGCTCACTGCCTACATCATTCACTGGGACCTGACCAGCCATGGCCCAGCATTGCTAGTGATCACTGCTGCATATATCAGCTGTGTCCCAAACCAGAGGAAAAGTTTTAGGAAGGCAGAAACTAGACATAGTACTTGGGAGCTCCAAGTTTGTACTTGGCACAGGGCCTGACACATACTAGGCACTTAACAAGCCCTTGGTGGTTGACTGATACTTTCAAGGCAATTTCCCATAAAAGAGTCCATTGATCACAACCACAATGCTGTGAAATGGATGAAGCAGGGAGCATTATTCCCATTTTACATATTGGGAAATTAAAGACGGAAGATCAGAGATCAAATGTCTTGCCTCTTGCCCAAGGTCAGATGCCCAGCCAATATCAACTCTTCAAGGAAGATTCTTTAAGAGGATAATTTCAATATTCCTCTAATTTTGGCATGGGAAAAGACAACAACATTCTTTCTCATCCATCACATTCTTTTTCTTTCTGTCCATCTTTTCTCTCTCTCTCTCTCTCTCTCTCTCTCTCTCTCTCTCTCTCTCTCTCTCTCTCTCTCTCTCTCTCTCTCCCTCTCTCTCTCTCTCTCTCTCTCTCTCTCTCTCTCTCTCTCTCTCTCCCTCTCCCTCTCTCTCTCTCTCTCTCTCTCTCCCTCTCTCTCTGAGCTGTCCAAAGATGGAATAGACTGCCCTGTGTTATGGGGTTTTCCCCTGTAGAGATCTTCATACAAAGAAATCAATTGATCAGAGAGGGGATTTTTTTTATAAAGACAGAAATTGGGATGGATGGCCTCTGAGATTCTTTCCAATTCAGGGATCCTGGGATTCTTTGCTGTAAGTATTTGTCCTCTCCCAGTGATGGCAGGGAAACCAAAATTCCCAAAAGATCCACCCAATAATATGGAAAAATCCCAATGGAAAAACTCCCTCTCTGCTACTTAGGCTCTGAGAGAGCTGACTGGGGGTGAAAAGTTGAGTAACGTGCTAGGGTCACATAAAACCCAGTATATGACAGGCAAAACTTGAACCCAGATCTTCCTGCCTCCAAGGCCAGTTCACTATCCCTATGCCACATTGTCCCTCCCACCAAGTTTTCCAATAACTTCTAAAAATATGATTTTTTTTTCTTTGAGGAATCAATCAACCACCATTTATTAGCCCCTAACTATGGACCAGGCACTATGCTAAATGCCAGAAATGTAAAGACAAAAGCCCATGCCCTGAAATAGCTTCCATTCTAATGGAGAGACATATGCATACATAAGCATACATGCATAATGCATCGGAATGAATAAAAGGTAGATTTGGGAGGGAGGGCTAGCTGCTTTGTGTAGGAGGTGATATGTGAGCTGCCTCTGTAAGGTAACCAAAGATTCTGAGAGGTGGGGACACAACTATTGATTCTCTGAATATTGTCCCAAATCTCAACATAAGCATAAACCCAGGTAATTTCCAAACACACAGACTACTTGTCCTGCCTGCCCACATTCCATGGCTATATCGGGATAGGATATAAGAGCAGGACTTGTAACTTTACTCCCAGGTGAGGTAGTTCCCTTCAGCAACACAGGTCAGCGGCCTCTTCTAAACCATACAGTCTTAGACAACTGTCCAGAACACCAAGGCATTAAGAGACTTGCCCGGGGTCACCCAGCTTGAATGTATCAGAGGCAAGATTTGAACTCAGGCTCTCCATGGTCTTTATCATGCAAATTAAATACTCTATGAGATGTGAGATTTTTCTCTCCAATGGCAACTCAAAGTATGGAAATTCAACCACAGATTTAATTTTTTCATTTAATCTTTTAAAACCTACCTTTCGAGTTCGGCAATTTTCTTGTCTTTATCGTTCTTTTCGTTCTCCACCTCCTTGAGGATCTCCAGGAGCCTGTCAACTTCTGCCTGGGCTTTGCCACATTCATCACGATAGTAAGATGCCTCTTTGTCCAACTGCTTCATTCGATCTGCAAATTCAGGGTTCATCCTGGAGTCTTCTTCAACATTATGAGCCTTCGACATTATGTTTTTAAGGAATAATCAAGACAACAGTTTAGAATGGTAAGAGGTGGAAATATCGAGGGCCAAACAAGTCAACTTACGAAATACTAAAAAAAAAAAAAAGGATTTGGGGTGTCCTGTCAGTTGAAAAAGAAAATGTTGCTAAGTGATAGGAAGCAGACATCTCCTTGTTAGTCTGAAAACAGTCACAGAACCTGACTTCATACAACTTATTTTTAAGTAGATTTTCCCAAGGGATGGAAGAAGTTTCTTTTATGCAAGAACTAAAGACATTTGCTTTTATTTGTCCAGTCCTAGACAAAGCCGACTTCATTAAATTTCTTCCTCCCATAAGCAAGTAAGTCCTACAACTGTATTCTCATTTTCCCTGTAGAAAAATGTCCATGATTTTGTGCTATTGTTATTTGTCATACATCCAACTAAGTTTACAAGTTCCCGGATGTGGAACTTGTAATCAGGTCTTATTTAAACTTGGCATATCCCCTCAGGGCCTACACACAGTGTTATGCACACATTAAGTATATAAGAACTTTTTGTTTTATTCGTATGTACATGGGATTTCATGAGGGTGGGTAGAGATTGCTCAGTGTGGAAACTCCTTCCTTTAATGTAGACTGCCAATACTCTTCTGTAACATAGTCATAAAGGCTGCCGGAGCATATACATGTACATTAATGTCTGCTTCCTAAATCACTTGCCCATGGTCACCCAGCTAGTATGTGTCAAGAGTAAGACCTGAATTTAAGTCTTTTTGTCTCCAAGGCCAATCACCTCTTAATCAATATTATTTGACTGAAAATGAAAGTGGTTGACTGGCCGCTGAAGATAACATATCTGGTTTGATAAAATGTAAGCTACTTGTGGGGAGGGACTCTTCCTTCCTTCCCATCTTCTTTTCCTCTTTCCTTCCTTTCTATTTTCCTTCCTTCTTTCCTTTCCTCCCTCCCTCCTTCCTTTCTTCCACCCTTCTGTCCTTCCTTCTTTTCTTTCTTCCTTCCTACATTTCTTCCCTCTCTCCTTCCTTCCTTCCTTCTCTCTCACCTTTCTTTCCTTCCTCCTTTCTTCCCACTCACCTATCTCCCTTTCTACTTCCTTCCCTTTCTCTTTCCTTTCCCCATCTTCCTTCCTTCTTCCCTCTTACCTTTTTTCCTCCCCCTTTCCTTCCCACTCACTTTTCTTCCTTCCTATCTTCCTTCCCTCCCTTTTTCCTTTCCTTCTATCTTCCTTCCCTCCTTCCTTCCCTGCCTCTTTCTTTCCTTCTTCTTTGTTTTGTCTTTATACTCCTAGTACCCAATGCAGTGCTTGACACATAGTAGACATTTAAATTAATAAATGTCTGTTTCATTAAATTGAATTGACTTTTGATTCCAATCATTTCAATAGACCATGGTGGTTGAAATGAAGATGCCAATTTTCCGTACTAGACTCTTTCCCAAAGTAGTAACCATGAAAGGATTTTCACCTGACATTCAGTCCCATTAATCCTTTTTTTTTTCTTTAAATGCCTCGACTGGTCACCCTCAACCTGAAATATCAGAATCATGGAGAAGCACATGAACACAGACCCGCAAATACATGCATGAGTGGGGGACACGTCCACAGACAACAACAGACATCATAAACATGACAAGAATAACATTGCAGGGTTATTTGCAGCCAAAGCATCCCAATTTTTGGCTGAAATCGTCCCAGACAGATGGCGACAAGGAGGCAGTGCAATGTTTAGCCTACTCCTTGTTTCCAATTATTCCTAAATGACTTCTTCAAAGAGCGGGCAGGAGAAAAACAAGGCACTTAACCACAGTGTACATTCAACAGAGGAAATTCAGAAAACTTTTTTTCCCCTTTAAAATCCATAAATCAAAACAACAAAACGTTGAGCCGTTTGAGAACGTGGGCCATTCTGCTAGCCGATTATGTCCAGCAGGGATGTTGGTTACATTATGTTTGTTGGAATTTCAAGGGAAGAACGAGGTAAGCAAGCTACAACCAAGAAGGGAGTTGGAGGAAACATGCGTGGTTAGAAAAAAATCCATACTAATCTACTACTGGGAGAAGGTTGACACTCTTTGCAATGATTTAGTAGAAAAATAAAATTCCAAAACTTAGTATAAACAGAAATAACTCTTGCATTTATAGCAGAAATAATCATTCTTTTAAAAATGAAATTGGTTGCATGTAACATATTATTTAAGCATGAGGATAAGAAAGGAAATAATTTTGCTTTCAAGCTCCATTCCTCTGATGAAAGATCTTGATTTTTCCATGGACTCAGCTCTGAGTAAAAAGGAGGACAGGGGAGCATATAGGCCAAGCATAAAGCATACTCAGGTGACCTTTGGGTTAAAGTGGAAGTTCCTGAGGGGCAGGGTGGGTTTTCTCTTGGCTTTTGTGTCCCCAGAACCTAGCTGGATATCCTGAAAACATTAGGCACCTAGTGTTTTTTGCGTTGAGTTGAATCGTGCCTCTCATATCCTCAAAAATATACATTTGTGGCCATTTCTACGTGTTGAGTTGAAGTCAAGTATTAGACTTTCAAAAAAAATTATCAGGAAATTGTTCATTGGAAGCCTAGTCTTTAGGAAGTCTATTTTTAAATATATTTTTGTAATTAATTTAAAATACTCATCTCAACCTAAAGAAAAAAAATGGATATAATTGATGCTTATGTATCCAACGCTCTAAGTCCCATGAAATTTCTTTTTAAGTAGTATATATTTTGAGCATATATTCTGTATAACTCATATGTTTGTATTGTTTCTTCAAGTAAAACATAAGGAACTTTCATGATTATCTTTGCACTCCAGTGCCCAGGATAGTGCCTGGTACATAGGAGGCACTTGATACATATCTGTTGATTGATGGATTGATCGAGTTATGAACTTTGAAATGCTTGTAACTAGAAAGCAGTTAAAATTTGGGAAATGCTTTAAAATGGCTAAAAATAGGAGTTATTTTAAAATTGCCTTCACTTTTAGAATGTGTTAGTAATATTTATCAATCACAAAATTTTTTTAAAAAGCCAATACCACAACTCTCTCTGAAGGTGAAGTTTCTTAATCTACCTGGGGTCTATGATTTTTTTTTTATTTTTAGAATTGCATTTCAATATAATCAGATCTTTTATAATCCTGCATATTTTATTTTATTCATTTAAAAATGATTCCGAGAAGTGGTCTGAGAAGTGGACTTCACCTGACTGCCAAATGGAAATGTCGCAAAATGCCAAATGTCACCAAAAAAAGGTTAAAAATCCTCTGATTTAAACAGTTTCCTTAAAAATTTGCCCTAAAAAGGAAAGGGGGAAATTTTTATTTTTTAATTTAAAAAAAAAATTTAAAAAGCAGAAATGCATATAAAATGCTTCTAATTAAAATTTAAAGTTATTTTCTTCAGTTTGCTTCTGGTCACCACAATGATATGGAGGGATAGAGATTGGGTCTATGATTTCATTGATATCAGGAGCTCCTGGTATAGGAAACTCCTTTTACCCATATAAGTTTTCTTCAATGTATATAGTCTCAGAGAGTCCCTTAAGCTCTAACGGTGACGTGACCAAGTTCCCACCACTAGCATGTGGCAGTTAAGAGCTGAACTCAGGTGCTTGTGGGTCCAAAGCCAGTGAGTTCTCTTCTCACTAAACCAAGACAGACATCTAGCTTTTGGCATAGATTTATTTAAGTGGGTCATGTTAAGGCTGATAACAGGAACTGCAGCAGGTACCATTTCTCTTGTAGGGGCAAAATCTACTAAGAAATCAGCTCTTCTAATGGAAGAGGGAGTATAATGTGCTGAGTCTGTCTCTGCTAGCTTTTTCTTGCTCAATAATATTTGACCAGCTGTAAGCCCTTGCACTCTCAAAAAGCTTTTTAAAATTTTCAAAAGGACCATAAAAATGACAACCATAAATTTTCTAGCACCTGCCATTGGCACATGGATTCATTCATGAAAAATGGGGAGCATTTCAGATGAGAGGCACCTAGGCATTCCCTAATCCCCATGAGTTTGGAAACTCCTGAAGAACATCTCAGGGAAAATCAGCTCTCATATTAAACCCATTGCTTTAACAATGAGTGTAGCCTACAAAAACGCCATTTTCCACTGGATGAATATTGGCTTCCCAACCTGGCCAAGCCTAACTGACAGGCATTGCCTGACCTTCATCAAGTGTCATCTTGATTGGACTTTGACAATGAGATTTGGAATGAATTTCATCTGCACTACCCTTGGCTGCCAAGAATCCAGGTGGAAAGGTAAGGGTTAAGATTTACAGTTTAATGGGGCCAATCCCCCTTCCTTTTGGAGATCTCCAGGTTTAAGACTACATTTTTAATTTGCCCTCACCTCCAATTGCAAGTGCTGAAATGCACTGCTTCAGATCCTGTTGGCTTCCTGGTTCTCCTTCCTTCTTAGAAATCATCCTCACAGTTTCCTGCCAACATCAGGACCTCTCACCAGCTAAGTCCAAGAGCAAAGGGCATGTTTTATTTCCTACAGAGATTCCACAATTTTGCCACCTTCTTCCCAATTGGTATAAAAGTCATTATGGAATCTGATCATCTAAAGAGAACATTACGAGTATCTTTCTGTGGTCCTTCCTCATCACTGGCCAAGAATCACAGTCAGGAGAGTACAGGTTCAGAATATATTTGCCAATTGTTCATTTATAGTTTCTAGTAAATAGTTTACCAGGACTCTGAAAGCATTTTTATTTAATGAACCCTAATTGCTGTGAAACAAAGTCCCAACTCACAGGGGACCCCAAGGCCTCTAAATGAGACTCACTCAGAGGAAATAAGAGATTGAATTTTACTCATTAACTACTTCAGGGAATGCTTAATCTGGGTATTATTTTTCCCTCAATATATCAGTGAGCTTTAATTCTACTTTTAAGCAGATTCTAGAATCCCTGAATGCTTACAAAAGAATTTTTCATCAGTGTCTATAATCCCTATATTCTATATCTGGCATTTCATCACTGTCTATAGTACATATTTCAAAATGAAATGTCAAGGATGTCTCAGTCAGGTCTCATCCACTGCCAAGTGAGGAAGACATTTTCTCAGAAACGGGAACAAACAAACCTAACTTTTGAGCTTCACTGATATGGGAAAGTCCAGCTTTGTGATTACAAATAGTTATCGAAAGTCAAACTGAAATGCCAAAAGAATATCTAAGTGGTGTTTAGGAAAAGAGATATAAAACTGTTCCTAGACATTTGTTCCTGAAAGAAAATCAGTACTGCTGCAGGAAGAAAAATACAATTTCCTAATGAATGGCATGGGTGTCCATTAAGACTGAAGAATAGACACTCCCTAGGCAGAGGAGATTTACAATTCACCAAGTTCAGAAATCAGATCCTGTTTACACTATGCTCAGCATGACTATTTGTTAACTCAACTAAAACACTATTCCTTCCCTATAGGTGTCAGCATAGCAAAGTGTTAACTGAGCCGAGAGACCTGTGATGATTCTCCTTTTAAAATCTCCTGAAAATCTGAAGTCTGCTTGAGACATTATAAGACGTTTTCACTTGGTGACGGGGCTCTAAGAATTTTCATGAAGACAGAGCATTCGCTTTCAAACAAACAAATGATTAGACTTGACAATAAAGCATAAACAGCCCCTAAGGAATGAGCGTGATGATTGTTCTACCCTGACGCTCTTGGTTTTTAGCAGTGACATGTATATATACTATCTTTTTTAAAGGACTGCCAAGTGTTATAGCTATGAGGTTTTAGGGACAGTGGGCAGTGTTTTAACAGTATTTATACCTTTTAAAAGCAACACCCAAGGAAGAAATTGCCTTTAATGTTATGAAATAATCTCATGTTCAAAAACTGTTGCAGAATTGAAAAATCTTGGGTAATTTTTAGAAATCTGTTAGAGGAAGAGAACAAAATATTATTCTTTTGAATAATTCCATGGGATTGCAGGGGGTGGGGCAGAGTAGATTGAGGAGAGTGAGAATTGCATACATGTATTTTATTATCACCTGAATTATTTTTCATTCTCTAATCTATATATTAACACCAAATAAAATACTTCTACATAAATAATAAGCTTATAAAGTGGCTCTCATCACTGTTCTTCTAGTTCTTACATCTATAAACACCATCGTAATAGGATCTAAACTGGTTTCATCTGAAACATTTACAATTGAGCATAAAGAGTTATACCAGATGGCGTGAATTTCTATTATTTGCTTTTTTAGTAAGAAAAAATAGGAAATGGGTAAGGAAATAATTTTTTTTTCCTGACAGCATTAATAAAAAGAGTATCACCTTTATGCAAGGAAATACTTTTTAAGACCCTTCAAACATTTATGACTATATTCGAATTTCAGAATAAGTCATCTTGTTAAAATACCACGTCCTCTCCGAAAAGGCCACTTAAAAAAATAAAGACTGATATCAGACCTCTATCAGCAAAGGAGACAAGTGATCTGTACCTACCTTCCCAAAACATATTGTGGCTTGAACACTCAAACAACAAATTAGGCTAATGTAGTGTTCAGATTTTTATACTTCTTGTTATTTCATAGAAAGACTAAAAGACGGTTAGAATTTTCTGGTGCACTGAAGTAATTCTCGGTTTCACTCTGCACAGTTACATTGGTCCTGAGACTGAGTGGAGAAATTTAATTTTCAAAAACTGGCTTAGGGAAAAGATATGCCACCATAGAAAGTGATGGTCAAGATACGCTGTCCCAAGCATGTGTTTATGCTTACTGACTTAAAACTGCCCTCAGATTTGGGGTACACCCTGTACCTCTACTTTTAGACCTACTGCATGTCACTGGAGACCATTTCAGATTTCCACTGTATAAGGGAAAAGGTTTGGATTTCTTTTGGGGGGGGGTGGGGGTAGATTGTTTTTTCTGTTTACTTTCTTTGCAGACATTAAAAAGTTTAATTTGTAAGAGACAGACCCCTTCCTAGGAACCAAATACGGAAGTCATTATGATTTTTTTTTAATGCAATGAATTAAGTAACAAATGCTGGCTCTTAGGAGCAAAAACACAGGGAGAATCAGGGACTAAAGATCTAAAAGGGATGATAAAAAGATCCAGGGGCAAGGGTGGGGAGGGAGCAACCTATGGCTGAGACATGAGCAGTGCAGACTGGCACCTTCTCTGCAACCCATTGCCTGCTGAGGACATCAAGTCATTGGCCATAGTCAAACCATCAGTGTAAGTATGAGAAGCAGGGCTTACACCTGGAACTTCCCAGATTGAAGGTCAAGGCTCTATCAACAAGAAGACACTGTCTCTCTTGCCAACTATTAATGATGTCATTATATGAAATGCAAAATTTAGCAAACTAGAAAGTTTAAAGATGTGTTAGGCATTTAGGAAATGCCTTGGACTATGATTTCTTTTAACAGTGATCAATGGGAAGCAATGTTCCAAAGGGAAAAGAGCCTTGGACCCAGGAAGACCTAGTCCAAATTATCGCTCTTTCACACGCTGGATTGTGACCCTGGGTGATTTACCCGAGTTCCCAGGACCCCAGGCAGCTCTCCAAGATGTTAAGTTGCAGGGAAGTTCTGCCAGCCCTCCTTAGTGGAGGGCATTTCTATGCTGGGGGCTCCCAATAGTGATAAAATCACAGGGCTTGACATAAAAACTGTCCTAAAAGCAAGAACGAGTTTTGCAAAAGTTTAGAAAAACAGACACAACCTCTACATGATAGATGGACAGACAGATAGAGAGAGGTGACGGACAGACAGACAGATGATGGAAAGAAGATAATAGATAAATAGAGAGATGATAAAGAGAGATGATGATAGATGCATGTGGAGAGATGATAGATAAACACAGAAAGATGATAGAGATGGTGATGATGATGAAGATAGATATAGAGAGAAGATGGTAGATAGATTAGAGATATAGAGATATGAAAATTGGCATAAATACAATGGGTTGGCTTCAACTCTTTCAACATTGTTCAGTTTCAACTTCAACAACTTAAAATAGAGAGATAGAAAATGTGGAGAGAAGATGATTGATAAATATAGAAAGAGATGGTGATGATGATGATGATGATAGACAGGTATAGAGAGATCACAGAAATAAAGAGATGATAGACAGATTATAGATACATAGATCTGAAAATTGGCATAACTATATTGATTTGAGTTTCAATTTTAATAGCCTAAAACTATAGGGGATACCCTGTATAAATCCAGAATAAGAACCAAGAAAGAAAGACATAACTAAGAAAAACATGCGTAGGATTTATAATGGCAAGAGTTAAGTCCCAGGGGTTAAAGACTAGCAGTCACAGAGCTGAAAAGGGATGGTTACGAGAAATGAGACTACAAGGCCCATTGGAAATGCCAGGAAGCTAGCTAGCTAGCTGTGGCATGACAATGGCATGATCCAAGAATAAAGGGGAAGAAAATGAAGGCATTTATTCGTCCTTGGGCAAAGATTGTGTAGGATAAAAAAGATACCAGCAAACAGTCCTTTTGGGGCAGTCTCTTGGAAAGACTGCTGCACAAATATTATATATTTGAGCATACACACTGGATAGATATGTATATGAAACTATTACTACATTTTCCCTTATAATCCTATGTATTTTATTTTATGCATTTAAAAGCATTATTCAGAAGACCCTGTAGGTTTCTCCCGACTGCCAAAGTAGCCCAGGACACCAAATGGTGAAGAACCCCTGCTCTCAGTGAAACTGTTCCTATTTCCTTCTCCCTGGTCATAAGCGGCTTACCATTGCCCCAAACAGTACCTTGTACCAGGTACAATCTGTCCCTGACCAAATGTAAGTTCCTTGATGGCAAGATCTATTTCACTTTACTTTATTTACTTATTCTCAGTACTTAACACGACACCTGGCACGGAAGGGATGTTTAGTAAACATTTGTTGTTCATTTGGTTGTTTGACCGTTATTGGCTTTGTCAATAAAAACATGTTGATGGAAAGGAGTCATGTATTTAGGCCAACCAAGGGTGGGAGCTTCTTGAGGGCAGGGTCTGTCTCATTTTTTCTGTTTTGATTTTTGTTTCTTTCCCCAGTGCTTGGTACATAGTAAATAAGGACAATTTTTTTTTTGCATTCATTTACTAATGGCACATAGTTCCTTGCATTACAATTTTGGCCAAGTTAAAAATATTGGTCATATACAAAGCAAGAGATAGAAAAGTAGCTGTTCTATAAGTTCCAAAAAGTCAAAAATAATTCTTCTCTCTCTTAACAAGACAAAGAAACAGAAAACAAACTGTTCTGCAAAGATGGATAGGCCATTCAGCTATGGGGTGGGTGTGAGGTCTTTGAAATGAGAAATGGGAATGTTTCTGTTGGGTTAACTTTTAGATGCTGCTCTATAGGGTGATAAATGGACTCATTATCATTTGTTACCATTATGCTGCATACTGTACATCCTGCAGCAATGGCACATTTTAAAGTCTTTTAAAAGCCTCTATAAAGTTAGCATTGTCTAATAGCAAATCCCAGGAATGCAGTTTTTACATCCACACCCATTTGAATCACTGTCAATTGACAATAATACATATGCTCCATTTATTATTACATAAATCTATGTCCATTAAGGTATTTTTTTTTACAAAGATTGGCAAGTGTTTGAAAGATCTAAAAAAAGTACTCTAGGAGTCTAGGCTTAAACGTGGCCTTTGGGAATGTAGTTCTACCCTGGTAAGATTGAGGACTTTGATTAGGGCAGTAACTTATCTAGTGAGGTTGTTAATTTCCGAATTTCACTTTTGAAAGAAATAGCCTCTCCAGCCCCCCAGTCCATTTCTTTGGATAGAACCAAAATAAAAAATATCAAGGACAGATGCTAAAAGCTCAAAGGAAGGGCAGATACAACGCCATATTGGCTCGTGGGATCCTCATGCTTGCATATGTTACAGCGGCGGACTTTCAGAAATGACTTACGGGGTGGTACATCTGATTGAACAGCTGCTCAGCTTGCTACATTGCAAAGTTGGGGAGGAGTGAAGAAGCACAGACAGGGAAAGAAGGAAAGATTCAGGAACACAGCATTAGCTCAACCAATCCAGTGCAACTGCACAGAACTCGTCATTTCAAAAAAGAAAAGAAAAGAAAAAAGACGAAGAAGAAGAAATTTCAGTTGCTAAACATTCCATGGTGAAAGTGAGAGGCAGGAGGGGGAACGGAAATGTTGACTTTGGCTCCTTAAAAAGAATAGCTGGAATAAGAAATTTGAGGTTTGTGTTACTTTCCCCTTCTCAAGTCAAATAGCCCATGAAATAAAGAAAGCTGTCCACTTTGGATGATGCATGAAGTGCGGGGCTTCAGCAATGAATCACTGAGAGTGCTTTCGGCCAGGCTTGCAATTTATCACCCAAACTTCAAAGACGGTAATAATAAAAGATTAATTAAATCTTATCACTGAATTTATGGCTCTTCTTTTGTATTAACACAAGCCTGAATTTTCTATTCAACAAAGGTTTTTTCGGTTGTTGTTTCTTGGAAAGTAAGAGCTTAGCAAACAGCAGATTAGCAGCGGCCAAATTGAGGCGAGCAAGGCACCATGACACAAAAGAGTACAACGTTTTCAAGTGGACAAAGAAGACAGAAATTATCCCAAATCCCAAATGATTCATTGCCCGTCACTCTCTTGGACAATTCGTTCAGAATCAGTGAAGGAAATTCAATTTTAAGAGAGCCTTCGTATTAGGATGCTCCCAATTACTGAGAGTCATCCTTAACGTTCTCCTGGTACAATTTTTGTCGAAAAAAAAATTTCATAGGATGTTTCACGGGCTGTTAATGTTGCAAATGTTCCTAAGGATTGGACTTCCATTCTTTTTCTCTTCAATATCAATTTAATGAGTTATGGGGCTGCAGTGTCAAGTACAAGAGTTTAATCATTACAGGGGTGCCCTCCCAACCCCCTCTTTCTAGTCATGATTACTAAGACAACATTAAGAGCCCTTTTAGGAATTGAAATACATTCTTCCCTACACTGTGGGATAGCATGATAGAATCATAGACCCAGAGCTGGAAGGAACCAACGTGACTTTGTCGTCCAATCTCCGCATTTTGCAGATGAGATGACTGAGGCCCAAGGACATTAAGAGATTCGCCTATGTTCATACAGGCAGTAAATTTCAGAGCTAAGATCAATAATCTCCTTTCTTTTTGGCCCAATAAAAAAAATTACCTTTCCTCCCCCCTCAGAAGTAAAAAGATAAAAAGAAAAAAAAAGAAAAGAAAAATGCAATACTACCCTGAATGTTATAGTAGAAATTGCTTTGCCCCTACAAATCTGGGGCAAATTTCCATTGGGAATTCATGTTGTATTTATGGTATAATAAAATTATGCTTTCAGTTTTCATTTAGTAAATCTTTGCATTTTTAGTCACAAGCATCTCTCTCTCTCTCTCTCTCTCCTCCCCCTTTCTCTTTCTCTTTCTCTCTCTCCACCCAAACACTCTCAGGCTTTTATAAATGCTTATTTTTCCATGACTGAATGATGTGTTTATACATACATTCATAAAACGTTGGCTTAAAATTTCAAATACTTCATGGAGATTTCCATTTTTTAGGTGATGGGTACTTGAGGCTTTAAAAGAACTATTTATTAACAAAAATTAAAGACTACTGGAAAAATATTTTAAACTTTTGAATTTAGTTAATGACACATGGCCAAAAATACCAAAATTATATTTGCAGGTTAGCCTTGGGTACAAAATATTTAAATTATAATTACCCTCTTTCACCCCATTAAAATGGACTTCACGTTGTTTAGATGATAGCGTGAGCAAAGATTTGTTGACACTTCCAAATTACCTTTCCATTAACTCAGTGTACCCTATGTGGTCAGGTGACTGTTGTACATTAATTTAATTCTAGTGCCAATGGCAAAGATGAATTTTTCAGTGTTAGCAGGAATGATGCTGTTTGGCCTGGGATCTAACATGTCTTCTGTGCTGCTGCTTGAGAGTCAGGAGGGAAAACCACAGGTTTTTCTACTGTGGCTCCCATGAAAGCTCCAGCAGAACATAGCGTGAACAATCCAGGCACTGATTTATCACTTCGTTCAACTGCAACGTATGGGAGCTACAAGCATGAACATATAAAACTCCTCCTTCAAAGGGCTTCAGGGATTAAATGGCTCCTGAAGGAGCCCAAATCGAAAGCATGCAGTTCACATAGACAACTAAGAAAAGAAGAGAATTCCAAGATGTTGCAAGGGCGGAATCTTTAGAAATGTCTATATTTTGTTGGGCGGCAAGGGGCTAGGGCAGAGGGGAAGGGGTTTTGCTACAATTTTAAAGCTGCTCCTTCTTTGGAAAGATCACAGTCAGTTTTGGGGGAAAAGAATCAAGTAATGTACACTCTGAACTCATAGGTCAACTTTACTTCTTGTAAAACAATACTATAACCTACAAGCGTATAGAGGCACGAGTAGGTTTAAACAGAAAGGAGCATCAGTGATCAATTTCTCAGTCCGTGGCCTTTGTAGGATCATGGGATCACAGATTGAGAGCTGAGAGAGATCTAATCCAGCCCCCGTATTTTACAGATGCAGAAATTAAGGCTCAGGGATTCAGCAACTCGCCCAAAGTCAAATGGGAAGGTGTCAGTAGTGCTGAGATGGAAACCCAGGTCCTTGGGCTCCTACTGCTTTCTTCCTTGTACCACCTATGCAACAACATTCATTATATGGCTGTACTTTATACTTGGTCAAAAGCTTCATGGTAAACTCTGACTCTTGAGAGTCTATCTATGAGCAATGTTGGATGCCACAAGGAGGCAGATTTGGGCTGGTGGTAAGGAAACAAACAAACAAAACAAAACGAAAAACAAATTGAGCTATCCAAGCAGAGAGTGGCCTGCTTGGGAAGTGATAGATTTTGCAATACTGGATTTTATTGGAACGGCTACTGGATGATTATTTGCTGCAGATCAAGATTGAACTTGATGGCTTCTGAGGACCCTTCCAGCTCTGGACTTCTAAGTTCTGATCTCATAAAGGGATGTTACTTAATTCGCTGTAATACAACTTGATTATATAGAATATTGTTGACAGTAAACAGGATGGCATCTGGGTCTTGGCAGACACTGTAGTCATAAGGGGATTCGACCTGTTCCCCACGTCTCTCTGAATCGGTTCCATCTATTTCATATGCAAACTACGTTAGCATAATCTCTTATAACCATTTCTCCAAATCCCCTGCTAACATAGACCGTTACATTTCCATTATACTTTCCATCACACCATTTTTAAGTATTCAGAATAATTTCACAGTTCACATATGATCCCTGCTTTTCTCTTATCATCCATCTATCAACATTTCCATAGCTTTCGAGAATAAGACCCTATTTCACTCTGTTACAGATTACTTTACGTAAGTGGTTTAATTTTACTCCAAGCAGTATTAGATTCAAAGAAACTTTTGTCTGGGCTTCTGATTGGCTGATAAAGGTGCTGCTGAAGGGAAACAGAGTACTTAAGTCATAACGTTCTGAGTTGTGCAAACAATGAATGCAGACAGAACCAAACAACACGAGAATAGAGTCAAAAGAACAAGGCATGATTGGGAATGCATCCACAGAAAATACTCAAGTTGCTTAAAACTCTGAATGCAGCAATAGTCTTTCATAAAGGAATCATACATACAACATGCTTTCTTTTGTATTATGCCTCCCCCCACCACTCCCGTTTTTTTTTTCTTTTACTGGACAAATTGTCATCCACCGATTCTGTCCACTAATTGACTAGGCTGGTTGATGGCTATGGATTAAAAGTCATTCAGGGAAAACTCTGCAGAGTTTCAGGACAAGAATTCGACACCCTTTTGCTGGGAGTAGAAGTTTATAATTTACTACGCGACCCTTTAATTCTTCGGTTTATTGCAAACATTCGCATTTATCTTTGACCGAAGTTTAGCTTTGCCCACTGAGTGACGGCTGGTTTTTATAACGTCCTTCACTTCCACTCTGGTATTTTCATCAATTTTTCAAGCACTCTTTAGACAGGAAACCTAACATAACTTTTCAGGTTCACAGACAGATTTGAGGCAGGCTCCTTAAGAATAAAGAGCGCTTAATTCTCCTATCGGCAGACGGCAAAAGATAAGCGGCTGCTTGTTTTTGAGAATGGGCCTTGTCCTTCTCCATTATGGCCATTTATTTTCAGGGGAGCAGTTTCTTGGCCTGCACTTACCTTCTTCAATTGCGCTTCCAACTTACTACATTCCTCTTTCTTTTGTTCTATGGCTATTTCCAGGGACTTTAATTTGGAATCCCGCTTCAGGCCCGCGGATGCCAAGGAGGAGGCATGTTCCTTGAGGTCAATTAGATTAGACTAAAACAGGAAAGAAATGGGAGTAAGACAAGCATTCACCAACAATAAGCCCCTTTTCTGACGGAATGTTCTGACTCTGTGTATCACTATAAGCAGAGAGAGGTCAAAGAGCTACCAGCCTTGGAGACAGAAAGACTTAGGGTCTGAGTGCCACCTCTGGGCCTCTCACTGAACTCCTCTGAGCCCCAGAGGGAGAGAGGCAGAAATGAAGATGATAGAAAAGTAAAAGACATCAGTTTCTAAAAATGTTTAAATCAGCTGCTGTTGATCTAAATTGGTAGATGAGCTCTCTAATGATCATGGGTCCAGAGCTTAAAAGGATCTTAAAGACTGCCAAGTGCAACCCCCTCATTTTACAGATGAGCAAACTGAGGCCCAGAGATGTTGCTTGCCCAGGGCCACCATCTTGGAAATGCCTGGGGCAGAGTTTCAACCTAGGTCTTCCTAACTCCAAATCTAGCTCTCTGTCCATTATAATATCCAGATGAAATCAAAGGGCCAGGAGGAAACAAAATTAAACAGAATAAATCAGGAGATGGGTAATTAGTAGTCCACAGATGAAAAGAAACCCTTTATTTCTGTCTTTGCATGAGCCAGAATAGATGGAATGTTTTGACTTAATTGTTCCATCTCTATGCAGATACTTGGCAGTCAGTAAGTCATCTGGCTGCCTTCCCTACCCCACCCCCATCCCCATAAGATAATATTTGCAAAGTACTCAGCACAGCGCCTATTCTATAATGGGTGCTTAATAAATGCTTGCTCCACCCCCATCCCCATGCAATGACCAGAGATCATCCTCAGCCAAAGCTGTCAACTGACTTACACCAATCATCTGTACTGGTCATCTGGCACCTTGGGTTTGGGTCAATTTTATGAATATGTCATAGAATGCCAGGCTGAGGGCTCTAAGGACCTGAGAGAAAGTCTAATCTAATCGCCCTTCCGCCCGTTACTGATGAGGAAGTCCCATAGAGACGAAGTGGCCGCCCCACACGGCTTCTGAGTGGCTACGTTAGGACCTGAATCCAGAACCTCAAAGTTCAAGGCAGGTCTTCTTCCCACCTTGTTTTCTTATTTCTTGTCTCACCTTTTAACTAACTTCTTAAGAGGAACTGTCATATGTTGTGTGGGGGGAGCGAGGTAGATAAGATCCATGAGATGGCACAGTGAGCAAAATCCTAAACTTGGAAGCAGAGAGACCTGAGTTCAAAACCTGTCACTGACAGTTATTATCTGTGTGACCCAAGGCATGTCACCACCCCCTTTTTTATGAGCCTCCGTTTCCTCATCTGCCTTGAGAATTGAGGAGAAGTGACCTGTGGTACCACCACGATAAAACCACGGCATTGTGGCTTCTATCATTACCACAGGGCTTTACGCAGAGAAGCTGTTCGGTCTATGTTCACTGATGGCGGGGATACTAATGATGATGACAATGACGAAGGCCACAGTGTCCAAAATAAAAAGAATTTTGGTAATTCTTTTTTAATTTAAAGGTTATAATTAGTAAAGTGCTATTACAATTTAGCATATATAAAGGATTTTTGCTTAAGCAGAGATTCCACTGTTATGATCTTCAATCATACAAAACAGATATATAGAGGTATATATATGGTATATATTCATAGATACATATGCATGTATGTAAATATATTTTTATCTAGAACTATGACTTCATTTGGCTAGGGGAAATCCCAGTATGGAAACTCCCTCTACCAATACAAATTGACACCTGTTCTTTAACTTATAGTCCCAGAGTGCTGCCTGGAGCACTGAGAAGTGAAGGGTTTTGGGGATGTGTCCGAGTTTGAACTCAGGTCTCAGGGCTCAGAGGCCAGCAATTTATCTGTCACACCACGACTGCATAGCACATAATAGATGTTTATGAAATGCTTGTCAATTTGAACAGAACTGTAGAAAACACCTCCCTCTGAACGCCCACAGCTGAAAACCAGAATTTGCCATTGGCTTCCATTTCAGTGGAGTCCTTGGAGGTCCGAACGGCCTCCCACGAGGGCCACCATGAGACGAAAGGCGCGGAATGGCAACAAAGAGGGTGCAGAGCCCAACAGCGCAGACTGACCTCTTTCTCCGTGAGCTCGGCTTGCAGAGCATTGACCTTCTCCTTCAGATCCTTGTTCTCTTTTCGAAAGGATTCAATTTCTTCTAGGCGTTCTCGATCATCGCGTTCCCTCTGTTCTTTCAAGCGCTCGATGATTCTCTCCTGGGGCAGAAGAGAACTGTAATGAGAAACCATGAAGCCCCGACGCTGGGTCACACTGGAACAAGAAGGCGGGGTCAATGTCGACATGACCAAGGTGCTTCCCAGGGGGCAGAAATAAGACACTTAAAACCAGGAGGTTCGTGGCCAAGAACACTGGACTTGAAGGGATGTGACCCAGGTAGAACAACCATAATCACAACAACAAAAGCAGTGAGAGTGAGAACAATAATGAAAATAATAATAACATCATTTACATAGTGTTTTAGGGTTGTAAAGCTGTACGACCAGTAAGTCCATGAGCATTTGTTAAGTACCAGGCACTGGGCTGAGCTGGGAAAACAAATACACAAAAATAATCTTTGCCCTCGAGGAGCTCACACACTAATGGAAGAAGATGACATGCACGCATTACTTCATTTGATCCTCATAACAACCCTGGGAGGTAGCTGCTATTATTGTCCTGATTTTACAGATGAGGAAACTGAGGCAGACAGGTTAAATGACTTGTCCAGGGTTGCACAGCTAGGAAGTGTGTGAAGTTGTGTTTGAAATCTTCTTAGGAGACATGTGATGTTAAAGCGAAGACCGAGAACTGTCTTTCAACTTTTAAACAACTTTCAGGCTTGTGTTCCTGGATGTTAAATGATGGCCCACCTGCCCTTCAGACAACTGTGAAATGTCATTGAAGGCAGAGGGAAGTGAGCCTTGCCCTGGGCTCAGAAAGCCATAAAGGCCTGGGTTCAAAATCTGTTTTGGACACACCCTGGCTGAATGGTTCTGGGCAAGGCATTTAAATCTCTGAGTTATCTAGGCCACTCTTTAGGTCTCCAGGACACAGAAAAGGTGACAACCGGCATCTGGCCTGTTTGATTGTAAGCTCTTTGAGGGCAGGGGCTGTCTTTTGCCTCTTTTTCTATCCTCAGCTTTTAGCATAGTGCCTGGTATATAGTAGGTGCTTAATTAATGCTTATTAATTAATTTCTTGGAAGAGGGAGTTTCCTTACCTGGAAGTTCCCAATGCCAATGAAGTCACGAGTCCATATTCTCTCTTTATAGCCTTCAAGGAAATCACACACCTTGCTTTTGTTTCTGAATTCTTTGGCTTTTTAATTGCCAGTCTTGACGGCTTATATTAACATGGCAATAGTTTTTTGAAAATACCGAGCAAACGTATCTGCTAAACCAATAAATGACCTGACTTTGTAAACTATATTTTGGCTTTCCTCCAGACCTTGTCAAACAGATCTGCTTCATGATGGAGCAGATGATGGAGCTATATCAGCAGGTAGGAATTTGGCATGGGGAGCCCTGAGGAGACCCTAACTCTTTGAGTTCCATAATGCCAAGTCTACTTACACAAGAACTCTAGTCCTTGACATTGTAAGACTCTTGAAGTTGGGAGGAAGAAAAGCCTAGACAATATCAATGAACAGATTGAACTCATCTCTATTATTAGTCAACTTTTGGATCACACAAAAACAAAGCCCTTTCACACATCCACCTTGTCTCCTCCTCCTCTCTCCCCCCAAAAAGTATGCCCATCTTCTAATGTCTCCTTTAGCTAGAATTAAATTTCTATGACCTCAAAGAATAAGATGGTTAATTAATCCACATTACTTTGGGGCTCTGTACCTAGCAACTGCCTCAAACCAAGAAAGGACCATATACTTGGAGAGATGTGGGATTTCATAGGATAAAGATTTAGAGCTGCAAGGGAGGTCACAAGTACTCTCTTCTATCCCTCTTGTTTTACAGAAAAGGAAACTGAGGCCATTCTATCCAACAAGGAGTTTATGACCTATTTAAAGTTTTCACAGCTAAAAAAATTCATCAACTGGTGGTTGATCTTGTAGGTAAAAACTTCTTCTAAACAGAAAGGCAAATCCATTGAAAGTGTCCTATTCCAAATTATTAGCTCAAACTCAGTAAAATTTAATAGTGTTTGCACTCTTCTGATACAATGTCCAAGAACCCAGGGTCATCTCCCCAACACAATAAAGAACTGGAGCAGGGCTTAGGTGGAATAAGTTGTTAGTCAGTGACTATACCCTCCCCAGTGGCCTCCGTCCTTCTACCAAATCCTTACAGGAGGAGTCTCCAAAGAGGGCTCTTGTACCCAAAGGGTTGTGCAAGACTGAAGTGCCAAAAGAAAACTTTATAAGTTGGATTTCTACTTACTTACAGCTAAAAAGTGAACTTAGCTTTTCAAAGATTTAAGACACAGATGGATGCTGGAGTTTTTACCCAGTCCCTAAGTCACATGGTCTACTGTCATGGACATTAGGGAAGGTCCCTAAAGGAAGATCGAGAGTCCCACAATATAAGGGGTAGAAACAGAGAGTGGCACCCTTACCCATTCCTTGTTGACTTTCTTTATATTTAAACACATTTTAGTAATTATTTGTGCCCTGTCATGTGGATTTGCAGACTATGTTAAAATTTCAACGAAAATAAGTAGATTTTTAAAAATTCCTATAAAGAAACAGAAGAAGAAGAGAGGAGGAGGAGAAGGAAAAGGAGAAGTTGAAGAAGTAGAAGAAGAAGAAGAAGAAGAAGAAGAAGAAGAAGAAGAAGAAGAGGAGGAGGAGGAGGAGGAGGAGAAGAGGAGGAGGAGGAGAAGAAAACGAAGAAGAAGAAGAAGAAGAAGAAGAAGAAGAAGAAGAAGAAAAGAAGAGAAGAAGAAGGAGAAGAAGAAGAGAAGAAGAAAAGAAAAGAAGAAGAAAAGAAGAGAAGAAGAAGAAGAGAAGAGAAGAAGAAAAGAAGAGAAGAAGAAGAGAAGAAGAAGAAAAGAAGAAGAAAAGAAGAAAAGAAGAAGAGAAGAAGAGAAGAAGAAAAGAAGAAGAGAAGAAGAAAAGAAGAGAAGAGAAGAAGAGAAGAAGAAAACAAGAGAAGAAGAAGAAGAGAAGAAGAGAAGAAGAAGAAGAAGAAAAGAAGAGAAGAAGAAAAGAAGAGAAGAAGAGAAGAAGAAAAGAAGAGAAGAAGAAGAAGAGAAGAAGAAGAGAAGAAGATGAAGAAGAAGAAGAAGAAGAAGAAGAAGAAGAAGAAGAAGAAGAAGAAGAGGAAGAAGAAGAAGAAGAAGAAGAAGAAGAACATGGGAAAGCTAACATTTCTCCTCCTGTAGCTACTGAGGGTAGGGGTAGGGTGCACACCAGCCTCAGATACTTACTAGATGTGTGACTCTAGACATCTCACTTAACCTCAGTCTGCCTCAGTTTCTTCAACTGTAAAATAGGAATAATAACAGCCCCTACCTCACAACTGTGAGGATGAATTGAGATGTTTTTAAAGTGCTTGGTGCAGTGCCTGACACATTGTAGGTGCTACATAAATGCTTCTTTCCTCCTTCACTGCCCTCCTCCTAGTACCAGCTCTTCTCCAGCCTCATTACAAACCATTTCCTTAAACATTCATTATTAAAAATGGCACCACACGTGCAGGATAACTCTTCATACCTAAGATAGAACCACGAAAAACAAAAGGGGAATATCAGAGCAATGGGGTCCCTTGCCTCCCACCCTATTGTGCCCACTTACCACGGATATCCCCTAAGGCTCTGACCTAGGCCCTCTTCTCTTCTTCTTCTATACCATCTCACTTGATGATCTCATTAACTCCAGTGGGATCCATTATGGTCTCTATGTATATGACTTTCACATCTATTCATCTAACCCTTTCCTCTCTCCTTAATTCTAGTCTATCATCACCAACTGTCCATTGGGCTTCTGGAAATGGATGTAGCAGAGACATCTCAAACTCAAAACATCTGATAGAACTCAGCATCCCTTCCCCTCCAGAATGTGGATCTCTTGCGAAATTCCCTTTCACTGTCAAGGGTATTCTGAGCTCCTCCCTTGCATTCACCTCAAATAGCCAATATGTTGTCAAGTCCTACTGATTCTTCCTTTGCAACATCTGTCCTGTGCCCCTGCCCTACCTTGGTCCAGGCCCTCCTCACTGGGGTCACTGCAGTAGCTGCTGCTGGGTCTGCTGGCTTCAGGTCTCTCCCCATCCCAATCCATCCTTTATTCACCTGCCAAAGTGATCTTCCTACATGCAGGTCTGATCATGCCATCCCCTCCTCATTAAAATCCAGGATGAAGCAGAAAGCCCCTCCCACCACGGGTCCCCTTTGAACCTGCCAGACTTCTCACACTTTACCACCCTCCACAAGTATGAAGGTCTGGCAGAAAGCTCAAAGGGATTTCACAGGGTCCTGGATCAAAGGGTCACTGAGAGAGTGCCCCAAGACACCACAGTAGCCATCTAGCCAACCTGCTCATTTCACACATGAGAAGACAGAGGCATAGAGAGTTGCTCAGGTCATATTCCTAGTAAGTTAAAAAAAAAAAGTGGAAAATTTGAACTTGGAGGACCTGACTCAAAGTCCACTGCTTTTCCTACTGGACTTCAAAGATATAAGAAAGCTATGAAGGGGTGCCAGGAATAGTGACCAAGATGCCTGAATTGGACTCAGGAACCCCTGGGTTCCAATCTCACCCTCAGCACTCAAGATCATAGAGTGAGAGATGGCAGGGACCTTAGACCTTGAGAATTTTACAATTCAATGCAAAATGATAAAAAAAAATGATAACTGACACACAACACTGTAAAGTTTGCAAACAAACTTTGTTATGCACATTACCTCATTTGAGCCTCATGACAGCTGCCCCATTTTACAGATGAGTATACTGAGGACCGGGAGCCAGAGTGAATTCACCTAAGGGCACACAGAGAGCTGGGACACAAACCAAGCCCAGCATTCTTTCCATTTACCTCCCCATTTGCCACAGGCTGGTGGGCAAGGACATTCAGTCTTCTGAACCTTCTTCCTCATTTATCAAATAAAGCCTGGAATACTTATAACAGTTTCCCACCACATTGTCAATGCTCAAATGAAATAATGTGCACAGCAACCCTTCTGTAAACTCTAGAGTGTCATGTGGCAGTTATCCTTATTTTAATTATTTTGCTTTGAAATGTGAAATTTTCCAAGTCCCCGA